GTTGAGATTGTCACATTTCTGGCCCCTGTTAAGAAAATGAAATTAGACTCCATTTAAACCATATTTAGTCTGATGGTGTTCACTGCCTTCCGGAACAAATCCCAAATGAGCATACACTCAGTGTGAGATTGGCTACCAAGGGAGCTTTGTATAACACCCTTAGCCCGAGGCCTGTTCAGAGCAGACCTGACCCCAGGGACCTTCTTATCAGGGCAGTTGCAGGCTTGGGAACCATGTGATTACAGGATAGGAGAGGCAGACTATGTACGTGGCTGTGCAGGAGATGAGAGGCAGACCATGCCTTTTCCCTGTTGACTCTTTGGACCAGATATTTATTTGTCATCTGGAGCTTTCAGGTGCGTGAGAGGCATTGGGCAGCACCCTTGGTGCTGTGCATCTGGTGCAAACAGCAACCCCTGAACCCATCCCAGTTAAGACAATCAGAACATTTCAAAAACTGTAAAATGTTTCTCAGTATAGGAGGCAAAATCACACTCTACTGAGAACCTCTACTTTAGGGTACCAGCTGTGCCAGGACTGAGGAATCTCCTGGTACAGGAGAACTCAGGGCTAATGCTGGCCAAGGATGAGCTGCACACATGACTGTGTCATGGATTACTTTTTACTTTATACTAAAATGTAAAAGTAAGGAACCAAACATTTCGAAGCCTGTCTTTGAGAGGTGCTCTTTTTTTCGTGGGGGGGGGGGGAGATAAAGATGTCTGGGGCGATGTGACAGATTGTATCATTCCTTGGTTCACATGTTTTCAGATTCTAGTAAGTGGTAAAATTTAAATGTCTTTAAAGCCTGGGCCATTGGAAGCTTTGATCCTAGTCCGTGCATGGACTGAGGACTTGGTTCAGACTCTGCTTTTCTAAAGCAGAGTCTTGTTTGACACTTTGTAGTGAGTTTGAGTGACAGACTTTTTCTTAGCGTTGTAGGCTGTGTGACAGTATACATCATGAAAGTGACAGCAATAGTGGAGACTAATTTAATTCCATTTGCCTTTGCAGGTCCCGATAAATCACTACTGTAGGGAAAAATAAATTCTACTTTCTCAGACCAAAAAATGATTCAAACAATGAAGTGTTCTAGGGAAAGAGGGCTGAAAGCAGACCTGTTAGTGGGCTTAGAATACTAAAATAGCATGGGGTTAGTCAGCTTTCTGCTGTTGTAACAGAGTGCCTGAGATGATGACCATATAAAGAGAAAAGATTTATTTTGGCTCACAGTTTGAGAGGTTTCAGATCACAATGGGGTTGACCCATTGTTTTTAAGCCTCTGGAGGAAATGTGAGGTCACAGTGGGTGAGAGGGGAGCACTGTGGCCAGGAAGCAAAGGAGGAAGAGGAAGGGGCCAGGGCCCCAAGCCCCTTGGAAAGCACATTCCTAATGACCAGAGGACTTCCCGTCAGACCCTACCTTAAAATGGTCCCACTGTCTTCCAGAAAGTCCACTCTTAGTTACTTTTCTCACTGCTGAGACAAAACACTGAACATCCAAAGTTCAAGGGGGAAAGGTTTATTTGGCTCACAGTTTGTTGAGGTTTCAGTCCGTAATTGGCTGGCTTCAAGGCAGGGTGGCGTGGAGAAGGTCATCACAAAGGGGAAACAGTTTGTGGCAGGCGGAAGACAGCTAAACAAGCAAGCACGGGAGGGACCCTAACAGCATCTTTTTGTCCCTTTTGCGTTATATTTTGGCTGGGATTAGGGTCAACCAACCGATGACATGATCAGTAATCATAAACCCTTAATCCCAGCATCACACATGCTAGATCCAGCCACCTCTGAAAAGCCCCACCTATGACTGCGTGAGGTTTAGGGGAACATTTGAATGCAAACCATAACAGCTATTCTGGGGACCAAGCCTTTAACACATGGGCCTGGGGGAGACTTTTAACTCCAAACTATAACAGATATATCAGGGGACTTGTTACAAAAGCCTCAGTATTTGGCCTAATCCTGGCTCATACAAGGAAGTTCTCTTCCCCAGGCTAAGTTAGAAAAGTAACATAAAGTCATAGCAGCCATTTTGGCTGAAGTGACTGTTTTTTTTTTTAAGGCATCTCGTTGGAAAAGATAATTGGTTATAAGGCTGCTTATCCTTCATGAGTTGGTGCACGAAACAGCTAAAATAGTCTAGAATCAGGAGTCCTGACCAATTACGAACAGGAAGAGTCTTAATGTGAGTGGAAAATTGCCAGTGGTTTTCATCTTCCTTCCAGAAAATGATTGTTACTTAGGAATGCAGTTGTGCTGGCAGCATTTTTAAATGCTAAGGGAATGAATTATGTGGGGTGCTACACAAGAGGAGCCTGATGGGTTTGAGGACACAAGCAAAGGAGATGGAACCCTCCTCACAAAGGGAGGTGGAGAATGGATTCTAGAGCTGTGGGGAGCCATTTGCACTTTGTCTAAACTAAACAATGGCTCACTTAGTTCGGGAGAGTCGCCAGCCACATTTCAGTCCATTAGAAGCACAGGAAAACAATTACCTATGGCCGGAATCCACATCTGCCTGCAGGATCCATTGGCAGATTGCTCTGGGGTGTGTGTTCCAACAGGAGGGCCCCTGGAGGAAGCTTTGCCTTCCTGCATTTCCCGCGAGTCAGCCAGTGGGATTTTCCCACTCCACATCAACTCCCAGCCTCAGTCACACTCCAGCGCCAGTGACTGATGGAATCAATCACAGCAGAAGCTATAAAAGCCCTGTCAGGGAGCAGCTCCATCCTTTGAGAAATGGGAACGTAAGGTAAATGAGCAGTTACTGCAGAGACGACTTTATAGGAGTGAGAAATCCTGCGTTATAGCTGCAAGAAGTCTTATGTGAATTTTCAAATGACTTTGCCTCTCTCCTCACAGCCCGCATGAGAGCACCAGCCTTCAACTGACACTCAGTCAGCTTCGGGGGAGCTTTGATTTCCCCCATTTATTGTAACTCTGACTCAGCCACTGTTTGGGGTTAGGTCTGGCTAGCCATTAAAAATACATACCTGTCTTTTCAGAAACAGGGCCTGGATACTATCAGAAATGAGAGAAATTGGGCCAGGGATGCAGCTCAGGGGCACAGTGCTGCTTGGCAGGTGCAAAGTCCTGAGTTCGATTCCCAGTACCAAAAAAAGAAAGGAGAGAAATAATTTGAGAAGACACGCAAAGTTTATATTCTTTTACTGGCTCTGATTGTCATTTATATTCCATACCTAAGAAAGATTTAGCTCCACTAAATAGAGCTCCACTCCCCTTAGCTCGATGCCCTTCCTTTCTTGATGAAATCAGATTGAAATTCAAAGCTGATTCTTGATGTTCTTTGCACTAAGGAGCTGCGTGTCTTCATCATCGCCCTGGGTGTCATCTACTGCTAGATGATAGTTGTCCTAGACTCAGCTGTAGACACCCGCACAGGAAAGAAGCAAAATGGCAGCCCCTGGGAAGACAGAAAACTCCTGGTTATAGCGCTGGGGGGAAATGAAATCATCTAGATAAATTTTAAGGAGTCATCATATGTTCCTTAAATATCGTAAGAGATATTTGTAGACTTCTCTGGGCCAGCCCTAAGCTGTAGGGTTTACCTCTGGCAGAAAATCAAACTTAAGTTAGTCTTTGGTTTATAAAAGACCTTGGGACCTGTTCTTTTTGAGAATTTGTTTTCTACAAATGGCTGTCCAGGCCTCGACTCCACAGGAATGGCTTTGTCATTGGATTAGCTTGAGAGTTGATACAACACACTGCCAAAACTAGATGGTTTAAAACCACACAGATTTATCTTTTCACTGTTCTGGGGAGCAGGAGTTTTAAAAAGTAACCAAGGTGTTAGAAGCATTGTATGCCTTGGGGACCTCTGTCCTGCAGTCTCTCCCTGCTCCTGGTGTGTCTTGCATTCCTTAGTGTCCTTTGGCTTATTACAGTATTTTGTCAGTGTCTGCTGGTATCTTCACACAGCTTCCCCTCTGCATGTCTCTGAGTCCTAAATCTCCCTCTCCTTTGTCTAATAAGGATCCCAGTCATTGGAGTCAGGGCATAACCTAAGTGCAGGATGGTTTCATCTTGAGATCCTTATCTTTAATTACATCTAAAAGACCTTGTTTTTAAATGAGATCATATTCATGGGTACCAAACGTTAAGGTGCAGATACATCCTTTTTAGGGACACAGTTCAAACCACTACAGCCATCAAAGAGCTATGTTTTGTTCCCCTTTGTGTCTTCATCTTTCTGCTCTCTGTTGCTTTTGTTCATTTCCTAAAGGCTGCTCATAAGGGCTGTTCAGCTGAATCCTCTTTCCAACATGCACACCTCCAATTTGGGCTCAATCATCTGCTGTCAGTCAGCGTTTTCATCCAAGACATGACAGCAGCACCCACAGTTTGAAGGAGGAAAGGTTTAATTTGGCTTATGGTTTCAGGGGGCTCAGTCCATGGTCAACTGTCTCTAAAGCAGAAACACCATGGTAGAAAATGCTTAGTTCATAGTGGCCAGGAAGCAGAGCAGAAGAACAGTGCCAGAGAGGAACCTGCTGGGGATCATGTATATTGCCCAAAGTGAGTCCTCACGCCCCACCCAGAAGTGTGCTTTACTAAGCTCCTAGGCATTGATTAACCCAGTCAAGCTGGCATACCATACCTAAGTCACCCAGTCACACCGTCCCTTTTTATTACTTCAGTATACTCCTTCTAGAGGTCAAAGTTCAACTTGGCCACACTCTCCAGTGATCCCAAATTCTCATAATCTTTCAGATCCAATGGAAAAGGACAGGTAGACAGCCCTCCTCCCCACACCAGGCTACAGCCTTCTACCTTCATGAATTTTGAGAGCACATGAATATGCAGAGGAAATGACTATGTGGTAGAGACCAGAGAGGTGGGAGAAGGGAGGGTCATGGAAAAAGAGATGCCTGAGAATTCCTCTGACTTCTCTAGCTATTTATCTAGAAAAATGTGGTAGCGTGGTGAAGTTCTCAACAAATTCTAACCATCTTTTTTTTCTCTTTCTCTCTTTCTTCTTAGCAAACTTCCTAGTTGGGCTAGAGCTGTGGTCCCCAAAATATTTTATGTGACAGAGAAGGCTTGGAACTATTATCCCTACACAATTACAGGTAAGTCCTTAACAAAACCATACGGAGTGAATGCAAGGGCAGCATAATAGAGGGACTTCCCTGAGTTAGGGCTGGTTACCCATGAGGGGCCCGTGAGAGCCTAAGAAGAAAGAAGGTAAAGATCTTTTGAGTAGGGGCTGGGGATTTGGCTCAGCTGCATAAGTGTCTGCCTTGCAAGCATGTGGTCGTGAGTTCGATCCCTGGTACCATTAAAAAAAAAAAAAAAGTAAAGAGATCTTTTGAGTGACAGGTTTAGAGGTTTTGGGATTTTTTTGGTACCAAGGATTGAACCACTTTGCACTTGCTAGGCAGGTGCTTATGTCACTGAGCTAAATCCCCAGCAGGTTTAGAGGTTTTATTTTCCTTATTTTTCTCTATGATTTGTAAATAAACAACTTGTTTACTTTGACTTGTTTGTTTTATAGCTCCATCCCTAAAAACATTGATTGTAATTTTTGTAAAGGTTTCTTTTGAGCTGGGTGTGGTGGCACAGGCCTGTGTAATCCCAGCATTTGGGGAGGTTGAGGCAGGGAAGCCTGCAAATTTGAGCCCAATATAGGCAAGTCAGTGTGAGATCCAGTCTGCATAACAAACAAACAATTTTTAAAGGACTTGGGGATGCAGCTCAGTCTCTTTGAGTCTCTCTACCCCAGTGCCCTCCTTTGCTCTTGGATAATAAGAAAATCTTTAAAATCATTTCTCCCTAATGCAATGATAATAAACTCCGTGCTGGATACTGTAGGAGAAACTGTGCCCGCTCAGAATTTAGGCTTGGTCTCTTCACTCCAGCACACGGAAACTTGGGATCCCTTATCAACATCGTAACAAGCTCTCAGTATGGGTTATAAAAGCTGCTTTTCCACTCAAAACACTTTCTTTGTGGTTAATGAAATGCTCTTCCAGAGTTATTAGACTTTAATTCTGCTTTTATAATGACAACTCTTGGGTTTTTAATTAGCCACAAACCTGTAAGTTAATTGAATCTTATCTTTTTGTCCTACTACAGAAGTGTCATGTGAAAGCGTTTCAAAGCAAACATGAAGATATTCAGTATTTATGAATATCCAGTTTTTGGAAGGTTTCTGTACCATAGTTTTAATTAGAATTGTAACTCAGCAATAGTTGTTAGTTCTGTGGTTTTATATTACATATGTGTGGCCTAAATCATCATCTTTTTTTTCTCTCTTTTTTTTTCTGTTCCCTCTTCTCCAAATGAACACCTGGAATCAGAATACACAGTAAGTTTCATTTAATTTTTAAGAAATATTCTATGATCAGTAGAGTAATTAAAACATTTCTTGTACTTGTCTTATCAATGTAATAATTTTCAAAAGAGGAATAATTCAGAATCAAATATTTAAATGTAAGCTATTACATAGCTATATATAATGCAATAGTTTGAATGTTCTCATCAAAAATATTAATGTTAAGTTAAAGTTCTTCGATAATCACTCTTCTGCTTATAATTCTTAAATAGTTTGATTGCTTTTGTGGTAGTAGTTCATTATAATGGAAGAACAGTTTCTAGCAGCATAATATTAAAGAGACTTGCTGGGTATGGTAGTGCACATCTGTAATCACAGCATTCTGGAGGCCAGGGCAGGAGGATGGCTGTGAGTCTGCAGCCAACCTGGGCTACCAAATGAGTTCAAGGCCAGCCTGAGTTACATAGCAAAACCATATCTCAAAAAGAAAAAGAAAAAAATAAAGAAACTATGGTAGTTAATTGGCAAAATGTGGGTTTTATATATTAGAGAAACTTAAAGCCACAATGGCATATGTGCAAACAATTATATTGAAAGTTCAGAATTCTAGAATGGGCAGTCTCTGTGGCTTGGTGAAATAATTTAATAGTATTTTGTCCTATGAATCTCTGAGGCCACTACTTAGAGAGAGAGAGAGACAGACAGACAGACAGACAGACAGATAGCCAAACAGCCAGACAGAGAAAAAGAGATTCTATAATACCACTGTGTTGTGGCTTTTCATTTCTATTATTTTCCCCAGTGGCTCACAGGTCAAGCTGTCATAACAAGAAAATAGTTAACTGATCTGTGATATTTGAATTTTTATTTCAATCAAAACAGCCAAAGGAAAAAATAATGGTAAGAGAAATGTAGGAAAATAGTTTATCATGTCCTTGGTGTGAGCCAGGCATCCAGTACCTAGTGGATCCTTAGTGAAAAGCTGTGCAATGATAGAATGAATGTGTGCAAGAGTGATAGATAGGGAGGGGCTAGCTGGGTAGATAGATAGATAGACAGACAGACAGACAGACAGATAGATGGCCCTAACATGGGCTTTGGAGTCAGATAAGCTTGCATGTTCTCTGGCTCTGACACTTCCTGACTGAAATTCCCTAGCAAGCTCCCCCATTAGCTTTTAATTCGTGCTGGTCCATGGTTACATCTTTACCTATTCTCTGCAGAATTAGAAAAAAAAAAAAGGAATAGTATTCAAATTTTTTCCTAAATATTTATTGTGAAGGACTGTTCATAATTCTGTCCTGTCATTCCTGCGTTTAAAATATTTTTTTCTTCGATGAAATAATAAGAAAATGTAGAGCATATTTTGCCTGATGTCCCTCACTTCAAAAAAAATGTCATATTTGTATGATAAAATATGAATTTTAAAGTATATTCAGGAATCCACTGCTTAGCACCAGCAGTGCGGCTTTTCTGAACCTGTTAACTATTTTCTAAAATTGGGAAATCCCTCCTTCTTAGAGCTATTAACTGAGGTATACCATGATCTTGACACAGAAGCTGGAAAAGCTTTTCTGCAGAGGGTCTATTTTTAATATTTTCTGCTTTGTAGTTCATAAAATTCTTTTGTTTGTTTGAACTGGGGATCGAACTCACGACCTTGCGCTTGCCAGGCAAGCGCTAATGCCGCTGAGCTAAATTCCTGGTCATAGATTCTATTATTGTAAAGTCACCACAGACACCGTGTAGATACACTTGCACAGTCACCTTCACGCACAGCAGGCTGGGTCTGGCTCCATGCTGGTTCGCCAGCCCAGACCTGGCGAATGGGAGGGGCACCCTGCTGTGGACAGAAGGCAGTGATGTGGCTTCCCAGCTCTCCTACTGAACCAACGAGGTGGACTCCCACCTCTAGGCCGATAGGCGTTGTCATGTAGTAAGACTTGGGGGCACGTTGCCTCCCCTTAACCTCCCTGTCTTCATCTGTCAGACCGAGTGATAGCTGTCTCATAAAGGTGATGTAAAGCTTATATTAAATAATTCACTTCAAGTCTTACCTGAGTGCTTGGTGGATATTCAGCGCACATTCACAGTTGTGTACCAGGTAATGTTAGCACAGCCGTGCCTATGCTGAGTGCGCTGTGGGAAGAGGTCTGAGCACCCTTCCACGCAGCCTGGGCTGCAGTTATGCTCCTGGAAGGTACTAATTGTCCAGGAAATCGTTTTGTTTTAGTGATACCCGATGCTATCCTGCTTTCTGCTTCCTGAATGCTTTTATTTGGACTTTTAGTCTAAAATGTCAGTCATTATGTGGACAAGAGAAATCTTGTCCGTGTAACTACACAAAAGCAAGTGTTTACCTGGTGAACTGTAGAATTAAATTACCTTGATTGGACCCAAAACTGTTGGTACCCATTGGCCATAAAACTGCTGACAGTACCATAAAATGTGGGCGCAATAATAATATTAACAGAGAAATGAAGTCCAAAATATATTTGATGATATTGTGTTCATCTTTAAGAATATGTATTTAAGTTTGACATTTCAGAAACAGAATAAAAGCACAGGTTCTGTTTGTTTGTTTGTTTGTTTCCCCTCTACTGGACATCAAGCCCAGGGCCTTGGATATGCGGGGCAAGCACTGTCCTACTGAGTTACAGCCCCAGCTCCTGTTATAACTCATGCCCGGTATAAAATCCAAGGAAACAAGAGACCGAAAATTTAGGTAGCAAAGGCTTTATTTCCAGGCCTGGTGACCAGTCTCCGGGAGCCAATTTGGAGACTGTGTCCCAGAGACTGAAGGGAGGACTTTAAAAAGAGGCTGGAGGAAAAGGGGGGAGAAACAAAGAAACCTACAGAGCCATCAAACTTGTTGACCCGAGTCTGGAAACTGTATTGCTGTCCACTTAGCTCTGACAATCTCGGGAGTTCCTGGTGTTTCTCAAATTACTCCCATCCTACAGACTGACATATCTCGGAGTGGCACATCTGCAGCAATATTTGGGGAAGAAAGTGGGCAGTTAATTATCCCAGGACAGCTCGTTTTCCCTTGTGGGTGTGAAGGGGTCAAGAGTTACAAGAAGCTGAAACTTAAGTTTTACAAAGATCTGATATCTAACTCATTTGATGCATACAGAACAAAAGGAAAGCACTGATTGGGGTTTGGGCCATAGTATTTCCCAGTAATTTCTTTGAAGCTAAACAGTTCTTAAAATTTGGGGCAGGCTCATTTTATGACAGATCATCACCGGGTCTGGAAGAGGTCACCAGAAACCCAAATTCTTTATGGCCTAGATAGATAGGTGAGGGGAGAGGGAGGCAATAAGGCGCCATACAGAACAGAAAACGGCGGTTATGTGTCAAGGTCAGGGTAAAGGGTTAAACTCATACGCAAATCTCTCTGCACACAAGCAGGTTACTTTAAACAAGTGTAAATTAGTGGGCCATCCTAGTTTTCTTTAGTTCTTTAGCGGATAATAGAGGTGCCTAACAGTGATTAACAACCCTTGTTAGCTTGTTTTAGCACAACTTCTGTAGTTTGTAGAGGGCAACAATGGTTAACATATCAATTAGGTGAGATTCTTGCAATTCTTTACAGAGGAGAGTATTGCTCAACATACCAATTAGGTCACTTAACATATCAGTTAGGGAAAAAGGATAAAAAAACACATTTAGTAAGCCACGTTTGCAGGTTTGCTATAATACACATATAACGAAGCTATTTTCTTAGAGTACAACACTCCAAAATATGATTCAACAATGTAGTCTCCCTGGGGCCAGCTTGTCCCTCAGACAGTCCTCCTGGGGGGACTTCAGATCAGCTCCCATGAGCGTTCCTCACCTCTGAGGAGCTCTAGGGGACTTGCTGTACTTCCGCCAAGCCCCTGCCCTGCAGCATTCCTGCGTCACCCATCAGACTTTTAAAGAGGCTACATTATGTTATTCCTGTTTGATGTAATTCGGGGACAAAAACACATGAAGAATAAAGTTATAGCTGTACAGCCTCTTACCCTTCTCTGTTTGACTCAGCATGTGAGTTGGTCTCTCACTGTATTGTCCGACCCTGGGTTCCTTTACGAGTCCTTCCTGCTCCCTGTCAGAGTCCACTGCCTCTGTGCTAAGAGACAGTCAAGCTAGTTTGTGTCTCTGTATACACTTGAGAGGAGGGATACAGGAATCGAACTCAGGACCTTGCTCTTGAATTTGCCAGGCAGGCTCTTATGCCGCTGAGCTATATCCCCAACCCTCTGTGTAAATTTTGCTATGTGTGGATGTATTGTGGTCACCAGAGCTATGATATTTCATATTTAGTGAAGTCATCTCTTAGACAACAATGAGGGAAAAAGGGCGGTGACTTGCTGCACCCCCAGTGGGGTCAGGGCAATAGAGTAGGGTATAGACCTTCCTCACTATGCGCTATGAGGGTTAGCCACTGAGATGCCCCAGATATACTTTACTGTGCAAACTCTGAGTGAAGGTCACTAAAATTGAGTGGCCCTCATTGTATAGTAAAGGGTAATCCTCTGTTGAGTTGCTGTGCTTTTTTTTTTTTTTTGGTGCAGAGAATCGAACTCACAACCTCGTGCTTGCCGGGCAGGTGCTTATGCCGCTGAGCTAAATCCCCAGCCCGAGTTGCTGTGTTTAATCTCATATTTAGCTCAGTGCATTAAAGGCCTGCCTGGCAAGTGTGAGGACATGAGTTTGATCCCCAGTAGCCTCCCTAAAAAACTGAATTTAATTTTACATTTACTCTTCGCATTAACTTAACTTATTAAGAATAAGTATTATTTAAAATAAACCAAAAGACAACCAAGAATGAGTCTCTGTAACCAAAGATGGACAGTCTGACCCTGAAAGCTAGATGAGTCACCCCACTGAGATACGTTTCCTCCAGGTCTAGGGGTGCATGCCTGTAATCTTACACACGCCGCAGGAGGCCAAGGCAGGAGGAGCATTGTGAGTTTGAGGCCAGCTCAGGCTGCACAGTGAGTTCAAGGCCAGCCTGAACTACATAGTGCAACCCTGACTCAGGA